CCCTTGGAGCTAAAGAACCCGGGGGCCAAGCAGGAGAAAAACCCCCTCAGGAGATTAAAAATGATTCAAAAAACGTCTCGTTAAAGAAAAAAACGGAGAAGGACAGAAACGGTGCTGGTGATCTCCTGCAGGGCAGCCCAATGCACAGCACTAGGATCCGCTCCAGGTTTACAAGGGTGGATCAGAGAAGTTCCACAAGCACGTCCTTCCAGTCCATATCCAGTCCAGGCAGAGCCGTCCCGCGTTGTGAAATCAAAGCAGGGTGGCTTGTTTTGTGAACATGGATATTCTTTGGCCCATGTGTCTGAAGCATGATATTCAATTCTGCCACCTTGACTTTTTTTCAATCAGAATCAGGCTAAACCTCCCTGCGGGGGTCACACAGGGCTCCGAGATTCCCGCGTGAAGCCGCCCAGCCTGCCCTCGCCGCAGACGGGAGCGTCTCTCTTCCGCGTCGTGCTCGGGCAGCTGGCAGGCCTGGCGCGGGGCCCCAGCCCTCGAACCCGAGTTCCAGCGCTCAAGAAAAGAGCTCGGCAAAAAGCCCGCCAGCACGACAACACTACCGTGTCCCCACCAGGGGGAAGACCGGCAGCAAGCAGGGGAGTAGCAGCAGTCAAGGATCTGGACTGGAGGGTTGCGGGTTCAAATCCCACAGCGGGGGCACAGCCGTTTTGAAGACTTCAGCAAGGCGAAGACCACTCGAGCAAACCCCCTTCTCCTATAGCTGGGCCTCCAGGCCGTCGTATCAAATGGGACTTGATCTGCAAGTGACTGCCCTGGTTAAACAGAGATTTCCAAATGAAAAAAAAAACAGCATCTTGAGAAACAGCGGCTCTCTGGATGGGAGACAGACATGTTCCTCCTCCTGCTCGATGGCTCCGCACCGCGAAACGCCTGCCTCAAACACCCACAGCCACACCCGGGGATGTCAACCTGTGGGCCCTCACAAACAAATGCAATCTGCAACAAACGCCTGCTTTTATATCATTCCTTTACCGAGCTACTAACCGGCCTGACGGCGCGATCCAACTAGATACCCGATTTTTCCGGTGGGGGTGTGGCGCCCCTCAAAGGCGACGAGCCCCCCCCGGTCTCCACAATCGCACCGCCTGGTCTCGAGCGAAGAGCGCAGACCCCGCTTAGTCAGGGCTTTTCAGGGTACAGTCCCTCCTTGCATCCCGCCGAAGTATTCTGGGGGTCCCCCTCGCCGCTTGCAGAACAGACTCTGCACAGCACGCAGAACCACACTGTTAGAACCATGCTCGGCCCTGCTTCAGCAACCTTGACAACAGCAACTTAACCAGGTGGTGCTGCACATTGGCGGTGGTGGAGGGGATCCCCATTACTTGTAAAGCGCTTTGAGTGGAGTGTCCAGAAAAGCACTATATAAGTGTAAGCAATTATTATTATTATTAACCAGCTAAGCAGTACTTCTTCTACAGCCACAGAGAGCTCCTCAACCACACAAGCTTCATGCCTACAGCAGATCAGGGGGGAGAAAACGCCCGAGCTGAATTAAGGGTTGACTTTATGGGGGCCAGACTGATCCAGCCTTTCAAGAGTGGGAATTGAGCCCATGGAAAATAGCCCTGCTCTTCCGGACAGCCATGGGATCTTTGGTGGCCAAGCCGTCAGGACCAGACATGGTGGCCCTGATCAACAAACCGGGGGGCTCGGGTGGGGAAATTCTGGTCACGCAGGAAGAGCGCCTCCTACTGGTCCACCACCGCCGCTACCACCACTTCCGGCAGCAACCTGGTTTTCCCTCGGAGGCCTCCCGGCCCCGTATCAACCAGAAACGGCCCAGCCGGGCTTCCGAGACCCAGAGAGGCCGGGCCACAGGGAAGTAAGAGTCCTGCACGACCACAAGCGGGCCGGAGCCCGACATCCAGGGTTCTGTCCGGAACTGGGCGGGTCTCGAGGGCGCCGCCAGCAGCCCGGGATTCAACAGATCCAGCCCGCGGTGAGCGCCCGAGAGCTGGAAAACACCAAACCAACGCTCGCTCTTCCGGCAGGACTTTACGGATTTGTTCGAGTGACGCGGAAGGTTTCAGGAAACAAGGCGGCGAACTGCCGCAGCGCCCCCTGCTGGTACAGGTCGGGAGTGGCGGCCTGGCGCCAGCCTCCTGCGAACTCTCCCAGACTCTCATTCCGGACCGCCCCCCTCCCGAAATACACTTTCCCCGTTTCGACGAGGAAGGCCCGATGCGATCGCGGCGAGGCGCTGTACTAACGAGCGAGGTCGCCTGAAGCGGGCACCGGCTTCCGAACAGGAAACCACTCCGGGGGCACACCGGTCGGACCGCCTGCCGCGCTTCGAAGCGGAACGAGCCCACCCCAACGGCCCCCGTGTGGCACGGCGTCGCAACCAGCTACCCCACCCCGTACCCCGGTCCGCTGCAGGCCGGCGCCTTTGAGAAAGGCTGAAAACGTTTGGAAAAAAAAAACGTCTCTGCCGCACAGGGAGAACATTCGCCGCACCGTGCACGATGCCCCAGATGCAGGGGAACCCCAACCCCCCCCAGCAAGGAAATGGAGGGCAGAGCAGTGGCTCTGTGGCTCGGGATCTGCGCCCTTGGCTGGAAGGTTGCAGGTTCAAATCCAGCAGAGGAATAATTATTATTATAATAATAATAATAATAATAATAATAATAATAATAATTATTATTATTGCTTACACTTATATAGCGCTTTTCTGGACACTCCACTCAAAG